GCCGCGGAGCTACCAGCAGAGAGCGAGGCGGAGGAAGTATCCTCCAAAAAGAAGAAGGGTCGTCCAAAGAAGGTGACGGCAACAGAAGCTGAGGAAGTGGTACCACCCATAGAAATGGAAGAAAATGCCGCGGAGCTACCAGCAGAGAGCGAGGCGGAGGAAGTATCCTCCAAAAAGAAGAAGGGTCGTCCAAAGAAGGTGACGGCAACAGAAGAAAACGTAACAGAAGCTGGGGAGGAAAAGGCTGAGTCAAATACGGCACAGACAGAAGTTAAGAAAAAGAAATCTAAAGGAAAGAATAACAGAGAACGTATGGATGAATTGAGTACAGTAGCGGCAGAAGATGCTGCGACACTCAGTTCTGTAGAAGAAACCCCACAAACTCAGGGAGAAGTTGGTACAGAGCAACTCGCAATGGTTGAAGAAGTAAATACAAAAAAGAAGTCAAAAAAGACAACGTCTCCATCCGCTGAGATAGAAGGATCGGTAACAGAAGATACATCAACTGTCGGGGCTGCACGTGTACCACGTGCAGTACTTGAGCGTGCGCCCCCACTTATGTTTGAGAATGCCGTAACATTAGACCGATTTGATGGTACTCATATGGAGCTTCGTCGTCCAGATTTGAAAACTCCTTGGAACATGAAGGTTACAATCGGTGGGGATAAACTAGTCCTTACACGACTGCCTCCCATCTCGGCCGCTCTAAAAACTCATCCATTTTTAAAAACATTGCAGCCTGATGCAGAAGGTTATATAAACTGGCGTGTGGATGGAGTGAATGGGACTGATCTAACTAAAGCTAACAGTACACTGCGGGCAAAGGCACTGGAATCGATGAAGAAAGCGAATAAACTTTCCTTCATTCTTCGGCAAATTCTAAAGTAGCCTCCAATCACTAGCGGGAAAAAAAATTTCAAGAGTGAAAACCGGTATGGTTTACCTCAAGGTTCCTATTTCTTTTTTTATCTTTTGTTGGTTTACATTATTGCGCCTCCCATTAGAATTTTTTGTTTATCTTTTTTTTCAATTTTGTTTCAGAAAGAATGGATAACCGTTTTATTTGATATTTAGCAACGCTATTCTCCACAGGCCCCTCGCGCAGTCAAGACAAATAACGCCTAAATATAATGGGTTTTTTTTTTTTTTTCTTTACTTTTTTGGTGAAAGGGACGTGGAGGATAAACGTCATGAGTGAAAATGATAAATGGGGAAAACCATAGAATGGGAAAATTGGTTGCGGTGGCAACAAACAATGCTATTACTCACTGATACCTTTTTTTTTCGTTTCTTTATTTCTTATTCTTTTAAGGAATGGAAAGAAGGAAATATCACTAAAGTCCACTCACGTGATCATTTAAAGATGCGTCAACAGTGTAAAGAAAAAGAAAAAAAAAAA